AGTAAAATTGCGCTTTTGCTATAAATGGAGGGGAAGGCAAGCCTTTCCATTCAAGCTTGGTTGTAGTCTAGCAAAGTCTAGGAAACCTTGTAAAGAGAGAGCCTCTTCTATCGATGTGTCTAGCTTACATGACTTTCTAAGATTCCTCATGAATTTTTCTGAAAAATTGAACTCTAATGAACAAGTTGAGGTGTAAAATTAACCCATTACGAACCAAACTACCACCCCTGTAGAAGAGGATATTTCTATATTTGATTGTTCCATTGAATCAATGATACGTATTCAGTTTCATCAAAAAATTATTTTATTAAGGAACATGAAAAAGTACTAATATACATGCAAAACTTTAATTCAAAGAGCTGAAATCAACTGGTCTTCTTCGAAAATTCATCTATCAAAATCTTCACAATTGATGTCTGATCATTGCTCGACTTTTGATCTGTTTCGTCCTTCAACTCTGCTATGCAATTCCTTCAGCTTCCCCCCTGCCCATGGCAAAACATATTAACCAATAATCTTTTCTCAATTACCTGCCCATGTAAGTTTCTTTGAGCAAAATCAAGGCAGCCAGTATAATAACAGTATGTTTTAGTAAGAGTTGAACAACAAAAGAAGCTTGTAGCTCAGTGGATAGAGCCTTTGTTTCTTTCCTTTCAGCGAAAAGAAACAATCGGATTTAGTAAAATTGTAAAATCAAAATTTGTTCATTCAGCTCGCCCACAAAGCCTTTCAAAAGGGCTCAAAATCTTTGTCTAGCCCCCAGCAGCCAATCGGAACTGGGACATATGGGCCTAACGGGCTCTACTATGCTAGACCAAAGTCCAGTCCATCAGGCCGGCATATTTTGCTTTAATTTTTTTTCTTTTAAGTTGGTTATATAATATAAAGAAGGAAATAACCCTCTTTTTTCCCTTAAATTCTTTTTCACTCTACTTAACATATGAATTTGAAAATTTTAATTTAGAATCTTATATTTTTAATTAGTTAAACCACCTGTGGGGAGATTTATTTATTTTTTTATTTTAATCAATTAATACAATAGTAAAGTAAATACTCTATATGAAATGTATTCAATAGGCATCTTATATACATTTCATTCGCATTCTGTGTTCGTCATGTCATTAACTCTTCTACCTTAATGAGAGCATAGGGCAGTTCGGTCTATATCTGCAAGGGAATGGTCCAATTCGTCTAGGGGTGAAGACCGAAAAGTGAGCAATTCGACCAAGATAGTTCGTCTATTCACTACAACTGCTTTTTGTTCAAGAAATTAACGCTCTTGTGCAAGGAAAGCAATTCAACTTCTGCTCTTACAAAATTGATTTTTTTCTATATATATTTAGTAATGAAGGGGTTTTTTTTAAGAGTTTAGGTCGAAAGTATTTTTTTTTTACATTAATTATTATTAAAAAATAAA